TAAGTTCTCGTGGTTTATTTCAATATTCTAAAATTTATTTTTAGTATTAGAAATTTCATGGCTTATTCCAGTTTGTCTGAACACCCCTTCTAAACTTTCAATTTCAAATTAGTCAAGGAGGTAAAAAAGAATTTGCAATGTAAAATTTCCTTCGTGGTATGGCATCCTCTTAAGGCTCCGTTGCTACAAGGATGACAATGTTATGAGGTAAAAATGTGCAATGTTAAAAACACTGGTGCAAAAAAAATGGAAACATTGGGATGTGGCTATGAGCCACATATTAACTGCTACAATCGATATTAAGTATTTATGGTGACATTAACCGGTGTAAACTATACTTGACACAAAAGTTAAGTTTCACATAATTGTTAAAAAATGACTATAGTTCCTGATAAACTGCTGAATAGATTTTCAAAAACTTGTTTGTAAAGTATACCTAGTTATGGTGCACACTTTTCTTTATTGTAACAGTTTTTAGCCGTATTTTATCAATTACACTTAAAAACAGTTTAATTTATAACAGTCGTTGAACAGCCGACGCAATTCTTGGGTTTACGACAACCAGTGTTCAACTCCTTAGCCTTGTAATTTTGAACACAATCCAAAAGACAAGCGGACTCTTTGATCAAATATTGGGACAAATTTGCCTTCGTGAAGGACTTATTGATGGAACTAACCCACATTTGAGTTACATGAACATGGAGAGGAGGACGACAAGAACGTCCCACGGTTAGCCTGGCGGCAAAGGGATACTAACCCATGATCCGTCTATCACTGAGGATATTTTTACGTCAGCACTGTGGTCGGTGCAAGCCGGATGCGGAATTTGTTTCGACCTGCCATCGTTGGGGATTCGAACCCGGTTCACCTTATTGGAAGGCAAACGCTCTATCCCCTGAGCTATAAAGGCTCAAAAACAGTTTAAGATGAAAAATCTTAAAATTTTAATTGCAAACTTAAAAAGTTACATTTGAAAAATGTAATTAAAATGTTTGACGCCCGGTGGCTGAGCGTAAGCGCTTCGCGCTGTCGTGCCACAGGTCCCTGGTTCGATCCTCAGGCTGGGCAAGGTTGACTCAGCCTTTCATCCCTTTAGTGGGTCGATAACTGAGTACCAAGCATGCTTGGGAACTAAACACTGGGGGTTCCGCGTTCAGCTGACCACTTGACATTTATGCCCAA